TTTATTTACTTGACTGTAATATAACAGACAGCATTTGACAAGTTCAAAGTTTGCTAATATTAGCCTTATCGCTTTAGGTTCGTAAATGGCTTAGCTTCCGAAGATTAACTATTTTGTAAAACAAAAACATTTTTAAACAAAATTTAGTCCTGAGTAAAGTTTAAGAGATGCCCCACAAACTGTACAAAGGACATGTTAAGCCAACGTCTGGTACGTCCATACGAGTATGTTGAACATGTGCCAAATTTCAAGTCTCGTGGCCACCGCTGAAGGCCCTGTGGCCGAATTTTCACGTTTTGCAAATTTTGAAGAAAAGAACAGGAAATCGAACCTTCTGATGTCATTTCCGAAAACAGTTAACCAAATGGGGTCTTTTGGTCAAATAAGAAAAAATTCGGTATTTCGCTTCTGTCGGCCAATTCTCGATATTTTCGGATTTACGCTCTTAAAACTCCTAACTTGATCATCTTTGCACAGCAACAATAGTGTCGCACACAAATGGCATCATGGAAATTTAACCCCTGGTGAATCAGACTCAGACAAACAAACCATTTCATGTGCTACTTCTTTGAAAGTGACCTACACTGTATGGAACAACGGCGCTCACGAGCACTTCAGCGCAATACTCAGTGAGTAATTTTGTATGTTGATGGCCTCTCTAGCTGAAAATATTAGAGAAAACTCTTAACATGTGCCTTGGAATAATAACAATAATAACAATAATAATAATAATAATAATACAGAGATTGAAAGAGGGTGGCAAAGTATGATGATTAATACAAAGGCTTTTTATGTGTCCTTACATCCTTATTAGATCTTAATAGAAAAATTATTATCATAGGATTGTACTCAACATTCAGGTGTATTACTCACAAGAAACCCAGCAAGCCAGCAAAGAAATAACCATAGATTCGACCTGATTCATTGCCTTGCCATGATAAAACTGGCTCACTCTGTCTTGGCATATGAAAAAAAAAACAGTTTCAGCCTGTGCTATTCATGTTACACATATCGCACCATACATATCTATGAAATATATGCAGCTGAGGCCTGCTAACAGTCACAGATTTGTTTAATGTGGTCGGATAAATGGCTCTATTAAAATCTAGGTCCTCTGAATTGCACAGCACACCTAATACTGCCATGCATTTGGAATTGTCTCAGGGGTAATAATTATATCCTCCTGTTCTATTGCATTTGTTTGAGCGGACTGCTCAGGTTGTCAAATTTGGAAATTTCTGGCAATAAGTCAGCTGATAAGTCTTTTCTTCAAGACCACGATAAACAATGGATAAGTTTGTTCCGATTCTTTGTAATACGTTTCCTTGTGAAGTGTTCTGATTGGCTAGTTGCAACTGCCATGCCAAAAGTTCTTGACATCCAATTCCTGGTGGTTTTCAGATCTATCCAACTGTCATTGCAGCTTTATAAGATCATTGTGCAACTTGTGACATTTAGCTCTTTTTTGGACATCTTGAATTAATTTTTTAATCGTGAGTTTATATGTTTATATGTTTATATGTTTCCCAATGTACTAGTTTTGCCTTTTTAACTTTTTACCTTTTTTAAATTTTTAAATTTGTAAATCTTACAGGACTCCTTTGATAACAGTACTTTAGAGTACTGATGGGTTAATCCTGTCTAAAGATTCGTTATTATTATTATTATTATTATTATTTGTTTAATCCGTTTTACATTACCCACAGCAGCAGTGTTTGCTTTTTAACATTATTTAAGCTAAGCAAGAACCTAGCCCACCAATCCTTCCTTTTTTGGCCTGATTTTCTGGTCTAGAATACAACATGCCCATACAAAACCTTCTACCAGACTGTAATTCTTGTCGGAGTCATGTGGGGGGTCTCTGGTCATGAAGTCTATTTTCAGAAACTGTGCGCGACACTATTGAAAAACGTTGGATCATGTGACATGTAAAATTTTGATATGTCTTTAATCAGGTCGCACCTGAAACTTTTTTAGACGCCCTTTACTGTCTTCCTGCGAGTACCAGTCAATTCAGAATTCATCATTTCTTTTTTAAAATTTTTATCCCAACGTTTAACTCCAAAGGATATGCCTAAGGCTTTAGACAGTCACCAACTACTTTATTTTAGTCACTCAAGGACACTGGTTACCAGCAGATTCCCTTAGGCATCTTATGTGCAGTGAAGCTATGAGGAGGGTGGTAAAGGGTATTTTGTGATTCGTGAATGGCCTAATTTTTTTCCTGTGAAATGTGAAATGGCTTGTTTTTTTCTCAAGAAATTTTGTGATTTCATTATCAGCCATGAACTGTGATTTTCCAAGAAAACATCTAATTCTCTGTGAAAAGAGAAAGAAGTATTTAATTCCTTGTGAACTGTGATTTTGGTTGTGTCTTCTATTATTTCAGATGTATAGTAATAAACAATATCGCTTGACCATAACCTTTGTGCAGATTTGATGGCAGAACAGACCAAGGTTGACATGATCTGCATCCTTTACCAAATGTAACCATTTTAATCAGTTTCTTTAAAACAGAAGCTAATAAGAATGTTTTAATTCAAAAGGTTAAATACCATTTTCCATTCTCTAGTACAGCACATAGGGATCAGCTTTCTGAATTTGATGAAGACTCCTCCGACACTGAATCAGACGATTTAGTGGCGGAGGAGAGTAGTGCCCTTGGTAATGTGCAAAACAAGGAACTCAGTTTTCTTTTAGTTGCATGCATAACAAGAAGCAGACAGATGATAGAGACATCTAACAAGGCTGTGCTTTGGGCATAACTTAACAAATATCAC